ATATATATATATAATAAATTCTTATAAGAAGTTGACTATCTATTGAACATCATAACTAGTAGAGGAATACAAATAAGCGAACATATAGTATTATTTTCCTGACAAATATTAATATTAAACTAATATGTATTTACTTTAATAGTTTAATTTATAAAAATAAACAATAAATAACTGTATTTATCCTCTCTCTTGTGATGTTAACTTCCTGGTGTATGCGCAGACACCGGAGGTCCAATGGTCACTAGAGGACGTCGTTGCTTTTCCCTCTTTTTTATCTTTTTTGCTTTTTTTCCTTGAAATGTTGCGACCAATATTTAAAATAGTTATTAGTATATTATTTCAATTTAAACAAGGGGAATAAGACCCGTGTTGCTGCCGCAGCTGCCACCAAACCCTGAACGAACTGCAGCAACAGCAGCTGGTGCTGCTCCCTCAGTGGCTGCTGCAGCAGCAACCTGCACGGATTTGAGCAGCAAGGAAGAGCAGCAGAACTTTTTAGGGTTTATTTACACTTGGCTTTGAGTTTTTCTGTCTTATTTGGCTACTATCGTCTTCTCCTGGCGAGGAAACCCTAAACCCTAAACCCTAAACCCTAATTCTTCAATCTGCATCTCGCGCCGCTCGTCACGCGAGCGTGTCAGTGAGTTATCCTATAGGCTACCTTTCCTCTTCAATAAGTTTTTGCCTAAACCCTAAACCCTAAACCCTAAACCCTAAGGCACTGCCCCTGGGGAGGATAAGGGTTTATGTTCTTATACGAGCGAGCCTTGCATTGTCCGAGTGACCCAACCGCATCCGGCGAACCCTAAACCCTAAACCCTAAACCCTAGAGCGAAAACCCTAGGGGAAGTCTGCAGGCTGAGGCTGATGGCTGCATCTGCTGCTTCTCCTGCTGCTCCTCTCCGTGGAACTGGTTAACTGTCCTCCCTGCCACGATGCATCGGCAGCTACTGTACAACCAGCAGCAGCAACAGCAGCAGCAGCAACAACAACAGCAGCAGCAGCAGCAACAGCAGCAGCAGGTGTACGAAGGAACTCAAACGGCTCCTGACGAACGTCAGGCTGCTCAGCTCTGCCAACAACAGCAGCAGCAGCAGCAGCATTGGCAGCAGCTGCAACTGCAACAGCAGCAGCAACAACAACAGCAACAGCAGGCTGGCATCTTGCTGCCTCAACCCCTAAACGGAGGCCAAGTTCTGCAGCAGCTGCAGCAGCAGCAACAACAACAGCAGCAGCAACACTACAGCATAAACCGCCTGAGCAGCATAGAGGCAGCAAGCAGATACGGACTTTTTGGTGGAGGAGGTGCTGCATCTGTTGCTGAGCCAACAGTAGCAGCAGCAGCAGCAGGGGCGGCAGCAGTAGCGGCAGCAGGTGCAGCAGCGGCAGCTGCAGCAGCAGCAGCAGACGGGCTATCTCCAACGACTGCAACAACTCACTACAGCAGCACGCAGCAGCACGCAGCAGCAGAAGACTTAGAAGGTGCATTTACTCCTCTTGCTGAGTCTGTTGGGTCCTCGCCTCCTAGCCAGCAGCAGCAGCAGCAGCAGTTGCTGCTGCATGCAGCAACAGCAGCAGAAGCAGAGGCAGACGGCATCCGCAAAAACCCCAATCTTAGGACTCTAAGGATTTGTCAGCACTTTCAGCTACTGCAGCAGCAGCAGCAGCAGCAACAGCAGCAGCAGCAACAGCAACAACAGCAGCAACAGCAACTCAGGAGGACAGTAACACAGCATCCTCAGCTGCAGCAGCTGCAGCAACTGCAGCAACAGCTGTTACATCGTGCTGCAGCAGAGAGGTCGCCTCTGCTGCAGCAGCAGCAGCAACTTTCTGTAGACTCAGACAGCCTGTACTCTCCTTGTGCCGTTGACGGGACACCTCGTGACCTTCATCTGCAGCAGCAAATACAACAGCAGCAGCTGCAGCTGCAGCAGCAGCAGCAACTACAGCAGCAGCTGCAGCAACACCAGCAACAGCAGCAACAGCAGCAGCAGCAGTTGTTCCAGCGGCTACACCACAAGCGTCACAGCAGCTGCGAGAACATCGACGTGAATCAGCAGCAGCAGCAACATCAGCAACTGCAGCAGCAGCAACTGCAGCAGCAACTACAACAGCAGCAACTACAGCAGCAGCAACTACAGCAGCAGCAACTGCAGCAACAGCAACTGCATCAGCAGCAACTACAGCAGCAGCAGCTCCAGCAGCAACATATACAGCAGCAACATATACAGCAGCAACAACTACAGCAGCAACAGGTTCAAAAGCAGCAACTCCAGCAGCAGCAGCTACAGCAGCAACAGCTCCAGCACCAGCAGGCACAGCAGCAGCAGGCACAGCAGCAGCAGCTCCTGCAGCAGCAGGCACAGCAGCAACAGGTACAGCAGCAACAGCTCCTGCAGCAGCAGCAGCAGCAGCAGCAGGCAGCGCAGCAGCAACCTGAGCCCTTGGAAGCTTATACTTCCGACGTTTGTCCAACAGCACATTCAACTTCTTCTATTGTATCCGTATCTTCATCAGAAGCAGCAGCAGCAGAAACAGCAACAGCAGCAGCAACAGGAGCAGCAGCAGCAGCAGCAGCAGCAGGCGCTGCAGAGCAGCAAGAGCGCATGGGATGCCGTCAGTCCAGTCGGCGTACTTCACGGGTTTCTTCGCCCCAAGGTGGTGTTGCTGCTGCTGGTGTTGCTGCTCCTGCAGCAGCAGCAGCTCAGCAGCAGCAGCAACAACAGCAGCAACAACAGCAACAGCAACAGCAGCAGCAGCAGCAAAAGAAGCCAACTGGTCGATTATGGAGAGGTTCTTCTGCTCCGAGTGGCTGTAACGCAGCCGAAGCAGCAGCAGCAGCTGCTGCTGCAGCTGCAGCTGCAGCTGCAGTTCCTGCTGCAGTCTTACCTCCTGTTCCTCCCCCTCCACCTCCCAAGCAGAAACAGCAACAACACCACCACCACCATCACAACCAACAGCAGCAGCAGCACCAACAGCAGCACCAACAACAGCAGCAGCATCAGCAGCAGCAGCAGCAGCATAAGAAGCAACAGGATCCACGTACCCTAGGTGTCCCCTTTGTGTCTGTTCATCAACTATTACCTTATTCATCTAACGGAGACACATTTAACTCTTCTTGTTGGCAGAATCCCCGCTGCAGCAGCTGGGGAGACACCTCAACTTTGCTGCTGCAGCAACCATTAGGGTGTGGGGCTATGGGGCATGTATTCTTAATACAATTAGGGGGGAAACCTGCTGCACTTAAGCTCGCGCTGCAGTCTGATGCTGCTGCTGCTCTCTATCTAAGACAGGGATGGGATAATCTTGTTAAATTAGAGTGTATACATATGCAGCAACAAATCAAAAAAAAAACTGCTGCTGCAGCTGCTGCTGCTGCAGCTGCTGCTGCTGCAGCGGATGCAACAGGTGGTGGTGGGAAGACGAATTCGGGGAAATGTATGGAGGGGTTAACTAAACAGCAGCAGAAACAGCAGCAACAGCAGCAACAGCAGCAGCAGCAGGGAGGAAGGGTATTATCTCCTGCACCAAGTAGTGCAGCAAATGCAGCGGCAGCATTAAGCAGCAGCAACAGCAGGAACGAGCGTTATTTTTGCCGTCCTTTATGTTACTTAGAGGGGGATTGGTATAGTTATGTTCCTGTTGCTGCTGGTGCTGCTGCTGGTGCTGCTGCTGGTGGAGGTGGTGTTGCTGCAGTACCTGCTGCTGCATCCCCTGGCACTCCCGCCAATCAAAATAACCGCAACAACGGCAGCAGCACAACAAACACGAATACGCACCATCAGCAGCAGCAGCAGCAGCAGCAAAAGAGGAAAGTATGCGGATATGCCATGGAGCATATACCTGATGCATGCCAACTAACAGTACTATCATGGCACTTTCATAGATCTATAGACCCATTGGGGTGTATACGCAGGTCTAATAAATCCTTAATAAATAAAAGATTATTATTTATATGCAAAGAAATAATTCTTGCATTTGCTTTTGTTGCTGCAGAAGCAAAACTATTTGCCTTTGATTTTAATCCTAAAAATATACTAGTATCTGTACAATTTCCTGAGCATAACAACAGCAGCAGCAGCAGCAGCAGCAGCAGCAGTGGTAATAGGAGTAACAGTAATAATAATAATAGTAATAATATGCTGCAAGAAGAAGAAGGAGAGGAAGGGGGACAGCAGCAGCAACAGCAGCAACAAGGAGAAGAAGATAACAATGTTGGTCTTGTTGCTGCAGGTGTATCAGCAGCACGAAAGAAAGCAAATAACCCCAACCAAAGTACCATCAACAGCAACAGCAACAGCAACAGCAGCAGCAGCAGCAGCAGCAGCAGGAATAAGAAGCCATTAAGTGCCCTAGAGTTAACAAAGTTAGCTTTCTTAAGTCCTTCTGTTCGCTTACGAGTAGTAGCAATAGACTTAGATTGTTCATTAAGTGCTCCTTTTTCCTTAGAGCCTCCATCAGCAGGAGGAGGAGGAGGAGGAGGAGGAGGAGGAGGAGGAGGAACATCAGCAGCTGCAGCAGCAGCAGCAGCAGCAGCTGCAGCAGTAGTAGGTGACCCTCTTTTGCTGCATTGGTGCTGCGGGCGTCGTGTAGTGTATTCTTGCCCACATATTCCTTCCCTTCTTGCTGCATATATTCTCTCTGTCTTAGCAAAAAATAAAAATAAAAATAATAATCCTTTTTATAAGGCAGGATTAACAAGTAAGACTGCCCATGATAGTTTAATAAAAAGAATATATAATAAGGATAATTTTCTTTATTATTGTTGCATGCATACTAAGCAGCAGCAACAGCAGCAGCAGCAGCAGCAGCAACAAGCGCAACAGCAAGGGCAACAACAACAGCAGCAACAAGGCATGCAAATTGGGAAGGGACAGCAACAACAACATATGTTTATGCAACAGCAACAACAGCAACAGCAACAGCATATTCTTGCACTGCAGCAGCAACAGCAGCAACAGCAGCAGCAACGTCATATGCAAATACAGCAGAAGGGACAATCCAAGCAGCAAATGCAACAGCAGCAACAACAGCAGCAATTGTCTCCTACATGTACAACAGCAGCAACAGTAACACCAAGCAGCAGCACGAGGTGTATCACGATGTCTCCATCAACAGATAATAAAGGAGACAGTTTAGTGTCTCCTTTTTCTGTCCCTTTTTCTTCTTCTTCTTCGTCTTCTGTGTCTTGCTCTCTTGCTGCTCCTTGTGCTGCTGCTGCTGCTGCAGGAAGTTGTCGTACAACGGTGGCATCTGCTGCAGCGGCGTCAGCTGCAGCATCATCAGCATCAGCAGCAGCAGCAGCTGCTGCTGCTGCTGCTGCAGCAGCAGCAGCAACAACAACAGTAACATACCCTGAACATAAAGAATTATTTATTTACCCTAAGAAGGGACTATTACCATCAGATATACCCATAAAAGAACAAATACACTACGGTGTACGATTAACAGAGACACATACTTTGCTGCAGCTGCTAGCATTTGTATTATGTGATGTACTTGCTGCTAAAAGTTTACATAATGTGCTGCTGCAGCAGCATACTATGCTGCTGCAGCAGCTGCTGCTGCCTACAGAAGTTAATAAACTTTTCTGTGAGAAAACACAAACTATTAGCTGTCTTTGCTTCTCTGCATTAACAAGGATGCAGAGTAATGCTATACCTATGCCGGGTGCTGCTGCTGCTGCTCGTGCTGCTGCTGCTTCCGCTGCTGCTGCTGCTGCGGCTGCTGCGGCTGATGCAGCACAAGCGGCGGCAGCGGCTGCTGCAGCGGCTGCAGCAGCAAGAAATACACAAGCACAAGCACATCCAGGTAAAGCAACAGCTGAAGCCCAGCTGCAGCAGCAACATGCAGCAGCAGCTAATGCAGCAGCTAATGCAGCAGCTAATGCAGCAGCTAATGCAGCAGCTAATGCACAAGCAGCAGCAGCTCGGGCACCATGGCAAGACTCGAACGATAAGGAAAACACCCGTCATCTACGGATGCAATTAAACTGCAGCAGCAGCAACAACAACAGCAACGGCAGCAGCAGCAGCAGCAGCAGGGCCCAACAACAAGCAGTGTCACAGCAGCAGCGCCATCTGCTGATGCAGCTGCAGCAGCAGGGAGACCGTCGCTTTGTTGTTGGGTGCAGCAGCAAACGAAGATCAACAGGTCGTCTGATGGATGTAAGCAGCAACAGCAGCAGCAGCAGCAGCAGCAGCAACAGCAGTAGTATCAGTTTTGACGATATGGATGCTGCAGCACCGCATGCAGCAGCAACAGTTGCTGCAAATGTTGCAGCATCTGTAGCAGCAACAGCAGCAGCAGCAGCAAGACCTGGTGGTATTGCTGCTCTATCTATATGGGAAAGATTAGAGCTTCTCCCTGCATTAACACCTGCACAATTCCTTCCTGCTGCTGATCTATTTGGTGCTGCTGCAGCAAAAGAGTTTGCTGTTCTTCGTTCCTTGCTGCTCCGCCTTCTTGATCCTCTACCTGCCTATACACCCCAATTAGGACCACCAAGAGATGCATATAATACTCTTGCTGCTGCTGTAGAAAAAGTACTCGAAAAAATAGAGGCTGATGATTAATTTTCCTCTTCATGCTGCTGCTGCTCCTGCAACTGCAGCAGCAGCAGCAGCAGCAGTTAAAGCACCACCAGCGGCGGCAGTTGCAGCAGTTGCAGCAGCAGCAGCAGCAGCAGTTGCAGCGGCAGCAACAGCAGCAGTTCTACATTACTACTGCTACTGCTGAGGCGGTGGCGGTCTAGGAGGCAGCGGTTCCTGCTTCCTGCGGCTGATGCTGTTGCTGCTGCATGCATGCATGCATGCATGCATGCATGCGTGCATGCATGCCTTTTATAAGGCAAACGCATGCAGTGGAGACACACCCGGCTAGGGGTTTATAGGGGTCACCTCCTCTCCCCTGTAGATCCTGTTGCAGCCCCTTATGCTTCTCCTGCTGCTGCTGCTGCCCCTGCAGCAGCAGCAGCAGCAGCAGCACGAGCAGCAGCAGCGGCTGCTGCTCCTGCTCCTGCTGCTGCGCAGCTGTCAGGCGGTTTAGGGTTTTTCTTTGGCCGGAATTAACTGTAGCCGAAGGCTCGTGAATTTTGAATAGTTAGTCACAAACCCTCGTAAACCCTTATAAGCCCTAAACCCTAATAAACCCTAAACCCTAATAAACCCTAACCCCTAATAAACACTAATAATAAATAACTATATAATAATAATTTAATCCCTAAACCCTAAACTGCAGACCGTAACAGACTACATACGAAACGCCTTAACAGGCCTAAATCTTTGCAAACCCTAAACCCTAATATCCTAGACACTAACTATAATACCCTAGACACTAACCTAAACCCTAAATCCTTAACCCTAAACCCTAAACAGCAACAAGGCTGCGGCAGCAGGAAGACAAACACGTAAAGAAATACAAAGAATAGCGGAGACACCAGAGAGTCTGGAGACAACAAACAAATTCTATAGTTGTAAACCCCGTAAACCCTCAGGGTTTAGGGTTTAGGGTTTAGGGTTTATATGCATTTGTTGGCGATTGAAATTCAAAGCAAACAACAAATCGCCCCAAACTTTTGTGTCTGCAAAAAATCCAACTCTCCGCATTCCCTCTGCTGCTGCTGTTGCTGCTGTTGCTGCCGTTGCTGCTGTTGCTGCTGCTGATGCTGCTGCTGTCGCTGCTGCTGTTGATGCTGCTGTTGATGCTAGCTACAAGTGCTGCATGCTGCATTTGGTGTTTCCCTGGTGTTGCTGTTGCTGTTGCTGCTGAGGGAGAGACGCGCTGGGGAGGGAGGAGCAGCAAGAGAAGCAGCAGCAGCAGCAGCAGCAGCAGGAGAGAAGCAATGTGCCCTCTCCTTATAAAAGGATTAAAGATGTGTCTGTGGGGTAGCGAAGGGATTAGGAAGAGGGAGCTGCGTTGCTGGATTGCTGCGCTGCTGCTGCTGCTGCTGCAGTTGCGGTAGTTGCTGCTGCTGCTGCAGTTGCTGGAGTTGCTGTGGCTGCATTTGTAGCTGCTGAAGTTGCAGCTGCTGAACATGTGATTGGTAAGGGATTGGCTGCTGCACCTGCTGCTGCTGCTGCTGCTGCTGCTGCTGCTGCGGTGGCTGCATAGGCAAGACATAAGCAGCATAAGTTTCTTCTGGCCTTGCTGGTGCACCCATAGAGGAGAAGAAGTTTTGATGAATTTGTAGCTGCTGCTTCTGCTGCTGCTGCTGCATATGCTGCTGCTGCTGCTGCTGCTGCTCCTCTAGGTGGGTAGCAAGAATCTTAAGGAGTTGCGCTATCTCTGCCTTTTCTTTCCTTATTTCTTTCTTAACATCTTGTGCCTTTATTACTGCTTGCTGCAGCCCCGTTGTATCTATTGCATGCATAGGGGGTAGAGGTGCAGCAGCAGCAGCAGATTCAACAGCAGCATCAAGGAGAGAATCAATAGCAGCAAAAGATTGAGCTAATGCTGCTTCCCATGTAGATATTTGCTGCTGCAGCAGCTGTAGCTGCTGCGCCTCTGCAGCAGGAGAAATCTTAATAGTAGTAACTCTCTGTATTTGCTGCTCAAGTTGCTGCTTGAGCTGCTCGGTGTCTGCTGCTGCTGCAGTCCTTAGAGCGTCTGCTGCAGTTTGTATTTGCTGTTGCTGCTGTTTCTGCTGCTGCTGCAGCACAGCAGCATATCTTGCTATTGCCCCCTCCATTGCTGCATGCAGCTGCTGCAGCACACCATCACATACTATCTGCTTAGCCTCTAGTGCAGCAACAACTTCCTTAAGGTATTCTTCTTGTGTCTTAAGAGACAGCTGAATAGCAGCAACTTGCTGCAGCAGCTGCTCTCCTATTTGTCTACCTGTTGGTCCTATATTTGCTACTTTTGCTGCTGCTGCTTCTCCTTCCTCTAGTAACTCAGCTACACTCTGTACTGTCCTATTTACTGTCTCTAATTGTCTCCCTAATCTTAGCTTTCCCTCTATATGCATATTGCTGCTTAGTGCCATTATCTCATGTATATCCATAGGAGGAGACACCATTGCTGCTGCTGCTGCTACTGCTGCTGCTCCTCCTGGTTGTTGCTGTTGTTGAGCTGCTGCTGCTGCTGCTGCTGCTGCTGCTGTCTCGGATGCAGCTACACGCTGTAATGCTGACTCTAAGGAGACAATTGTCTCCTCTATTAGTGTCTCCCCTGCCTTCAATTCTTTTATTTGCTGCTGCACTGCATGCAGCCCCGCTTCTGCTGATACAAGTAAGCTTCTTGCTGCAGTACTCTCCTGCTGCAGCTGCAGATGCTGCTGTCTTGCCCTTATTAGCTGCTGCTCCATCCTTGCCCTCTCTTCTTGTTGTGCTCTCTGCAGCTGCTGCAGCACTTGCTGCACCTGCTGCTGCTGACGAACCTCCAACTGCTGCAATTGGTGCTGCAGAGGATCCAGCAATGCATCCCCTGTATTCCCCATCATACCTGCTGCAGCAGCAGCAGCAGCAGCAGCACCAGCAGCACCCCCAGGATGCTGATGATGATGTGCAGCATGATGATGATGTTGTTGCTGCTGTTGCTGCTGTTGAACATTCCCTGTAGCAGAACTGGCACCGCCACTTTTTGCTGCAGCAGCTGCAGCAGCAGCAGCAGCAGCAGCAGCAGCAGGAGAATTTCCCCCCATTACAGAAGAAAGTACTGCCTCTGCTTGCATCTTTAGATGCAGCATATGCTCCTCTAGTGTATAGGCAGCAGCAGGAGATTGTGTTTTTGCTTTTGCCTCTGCTGTATCTGCATATCTTTCTGCTATTTGTTTGTATTGTTCTTGTAGTAATGGATCCATTAAGGATAATAATCCTTTTATCTCTGCATGCCCTCTGCCTAATGCTGCAGCAAGTAATCTATTACCATTACGCCATTGATTACCTGCTATCTTTTTTGCTGTCCAACTACTATTTACTGGCTGCAGCAACTGCTGCTGCAACAACAGCAGCAGCAGCAGCAGCAGCACTGATAGCGGCAACATGCTACGCAAATGCGTAGCTCCTCCTACACGAAATATACCCATCTTCCTGCAGCACAACGCATAGAACACAGAATGCTGCTGCTGCTCCTGCTGCTGTTGCTGCTGTTGCTGCTGGTGGTGCTGCTGTTGGTGTTGGTGTTGCTGCTGTTGGTGTTGCTGCTGTTGAGGAGGTGGAGGAGATGCGGGAGGTGGATCGTGCGGCTGCTGCTGTTGCTGCTGTTTCTGCTGCTGCTGCTGTTGCTGCAGCAGCAGGAGGAATGGTAGGGAGGGAATGATAAACACAAATGACAACACAAGCAGCAGCATCAACGCTAGCAGCAGCAGAAGCAGCAACAGCAGCAGCAACAGCAGCAGCAACAGCGGCAGCAACGACAGCAGCAGCAGCAATGGAACAGCAAGCGCATACAACGTACTTAATTACCCTGCAGATCTTCTGTTCCTGCTGCTGTTAATACTCCCGTCAATGCTGCTGCTGCTGCTGCTGCTGCTGCTGCTGCTGCTGCTGCTGCGGCTGCGGCGGCGCCGGCTGCTGCTGTTGCTCGTTTTGCTGCAGCCAGGTCGAAGAGGAAAACAAGGCCAGCTGAACCGAGGGTTTAGGGTTTAGGGTTTGCGCATGCAGGAACGCATGCCCCAGATCATAACCCTGCAAGGCAAAGCCCGAGAAGCACAGATATAACGTATTAGGGTCCCGAGGGTTTAGGGTTTAGGGTTTAGGGTTTACAAAATCTAAGCTTCTGCCACAACAAAAGAGTCCCGTCTCTATAGTTTTAGGGTTTAGGGTTTAGGATTTAGGGTTTAGGGTTCAGGGTTTATGCTCTGCTGGTCCGCTCTACCCCAGCATTATTACTCCCCGCCAAGAAAGAGGCAGAGACGCCGCTGACAGGCGTACCTGACACTTCTGTGGAGGTTTAGGGTTTAGGGTTTAGGGTTTAAATATTAGGGTTTAGGGTTTAGGGTTTAGATAAAGCAAGATAAAGAACGCTGCTGCTGCAGCAACTCAAGAACAGAATGGCAACGAGGGATCGATGCGGCAGCACACGGCTCGGGTCTGCTCCCGTGCGCGTAAACCCCAAACACTAAACCCTAAACCCTAAACCCTAAACCCTAATTTATATCTAATTATTTATAATAAAGCAAACATTCAATTTATTAAAACAATCAATCATTCCCTCCTATAAACCCTTTGTCCCCCCTTCCTGCTGCTGCTGCAACGCGCAGTGCTGCTGCTGCTGCTACTACTACTACTGCTGCTACAGTTGCTGCTACTATCGCTGCTGCTGCTGCTGCCCTTGTTGTCTTTGCTGCTGCTGCTGCTGCATATAATGCAGTAAGAAAGTGCCTTGGGTCCCCACACGTGAGCCCGTGCACCCACGCTCTTGGGTTACCCTGGCGAACCCTAAACCCTAAACCCTAGATTCTAAACCCTAAACCCTAGATTCTAAACCCTAAACCCTAAACCGTAGACCCTAAACCTCTAAGAAGAGGCAGCGTATTCGTGCTGCTCTCTTAGTCTTTGACTAACTTTTAGTAAGGGAGACGAATGCAGCAGCAGCTGCTGCTGCGCTGCAACGAGAGGGAGGTGAGGAGACACCGTAGATACAAAGGGGGAAAGGAGACAGAAAGGAGACAAAAAAGAGAGGAAAAAAAGACACAGAGACAATAAGGAGACAATTAAACAGCAGAAAGGAGACACATAACTACAAGAGAGACACTGATAGATAGAGCTAGTAATGGGCACAGTACTGTAGCTGCTAGCATTACTTGCTGCTGCTGCTGCTGCTGCTGCTGCAGAAGCAGCAGCAGAAGCAACTGTAGCAATAGCAACAGCAACAAAGCACCAATAGCAGCAACTGCTGCAGCAACAGCAACAGCAGCAGCAACAGCAGCACGACTAGCAGCAGCAGCACTGCAGCATCTGCAGCAACAGTGCTGCAACAGAAGCATTGCTGCAGCAGCAAGATTGCTGCAACAGAAGCATTGTTGCAGCAGCAAAATTGCTGCAGCAGCAGCATTGGTGCAAGAATAGCAAGAGTAGCAGCAGCAGCATCTATTAGCAGCAGCAACCTTGCTGTTGCTGCAGCAACGCCGGGGAGAATAGGGTGCGGAGACACCTGAAGACCTAAAAAGGAGACAGATACACCGCAAGCAGCAGCTCGTGCTGCTGTCTCCTTTTGCTGCTTCCTTTGTGTCTCCTTTCCCTCTTTATGTCTCCTTTTTCTTTTGTCCCCTTTTCCCTTCTCCGCATCAATACGCTTGGCCTTTATAAACCTCCTAAACCCTAAACCCTAAACCCTCAGAAATTGTGCAGTAAGGGACAGCTGCCTTCCCCCAAGGGTTCGGGTGTCTCTTCTGTCTCCTTTTGTCTCTTGCAGCTGTCTCTTCTTTTGCTGCTGCTGCTGCTGCTCTTGCTGTTGCTGCTGTTGCTGCTGCAGATACAAGGGCTGCTGCTACTCTAACAAATACAGACTAAACCCTAAACCCTAAACCCTAAACCCTAAAAGCCCTCAAGGAGTAAGGAGACAGTATATAATAAATAATACAAGGATGCAATTCATCTGTCTCCTTTCCTTCCTTTTCTCCTTATCTAGGTAGCCCTCTCCCCCCTATTTAATTAATTTATTTATTTAATTTAATTAATTAATTTAATTAATTAATTAATTAAATTAATTAATAATTTATTACGCATTAGGAGACACTTAAGGAGACAATTAAGGAGACACTTTGCTGTCTCCTCTACTGTCTCCTTTTTTTGTGTCTCCCTTCTTGTCTCCCTTTATTGTCCCTTCTTGCTGCCCCCTCTGTTGTCTCCTTTTTTATTATAGGCAGCTGTCTCCTTTATTGTCTCCTTTTGCTAACGAGATTGTCTGCAGTTAGATGTATAACTCGACTAAACCCTAAACCCTAAACCCTAAACCCTAAACCCTTGAAGGAGGAATGGGGAGAAAGTGTTTAATATATATAAGCTAAAAAGAGCAACGCTTTCTCCCCTTTTGTTTGTTGATGGCAAAAGCACAAGCAAAAAACACCAAGCTTGTGTGCAGCACACGCGACGGCATTGCCCGCAAACCCTAAACCCTAATATAAACCCTTATAACAACAAGCTAGGGTTTAGGGTTTAGGTAATATATATATAGCAAAAACATAAAGGATTAGCTGCTGATGCAGCGGGCTGCGTCTGCGCGAACAAGAAGGCTCGCAGCCAACCCAACTCCTAGGGTTTAAAACCCTAAACCCTAAACCCTCATCCAAACCCTAAACCCCTCTCTTTCTAGGGTTTAGGGTTTAGGGTTTACGAATTGTCTGCTATAGCGAGTATATTCATAAATATAATTATAATATCCATGTATAAAGTTAATGCAGCAAATATATAATCATCTATTGAGTACTGATAACGACGATGCTTGCCTCCGACCACCAGCTGCATACAGCACCCAAAACCCTAAACCCTAAACCCTAAACCCTAGTATTCCTAAATAAGAACAGATAATGACTATATAAAGACAAGAACACCACAGCAACAATTAGGGTTTCTAGTGTTTGTACCTTGTGGTGCACCTAAACCCTCATATCTCCTGCTCCTACTGTTGTCCCAAATTAGGGTTTAGGGTATAACTAGGGTTTAGCTAGGGTTTAGGTAGGGTTTATTATTTAGGGTTTAGGGTTTAGGGTTTACCTGGGTGTCGTATACAAGAATCATACAGAATAATACTGTAGCTATACCCGAGTAGACAAGATGTACAATTTTATTGGAGAAGAAAATGCATAAAATGCCAAATATCATTAAACATAATACTGCTACAAATAAATATGTACCGCAACCTGAACACAAACCCTAAACCCTAAACCCTAAACCCTAAACCCTAAACCCTAAAACCCTAAACCCTAGATAAAAAATAGATAAAAAATAGATAAACCCTAGAGGGAGAGCAAAACGTCGGGAAGGATATTCAACTTAAACTGCTGCTGGACAAACAGGCAAGCTACATTCCAAACCCTAAACCCTAAACCCTAAACCCTAAACCCTAAACCCTATATATATTTCTTACCAGTGAAGTCATATTTAGTTTGGCATGCGAATAACATTAGACCAACAACAACAACAAAAGTAGCACCAATAGCAATAAGGAAACTTGAATAAGAAGAAGCTGCTGCTGCACAAGAAATAAGTATTGAATAACATCCTGTTATTAAGGACATTAATATAAAATTCATTGGTACTTTACGAGCCAAATCAGGGATACAAACCAATACTGCACACACATACACAAACCCTAAACCCTAAACCCTAAACCCTAAACCCTAAATCACCATAATCCCTGAATAGTCTATATATTGACCCTAAATAATAGGCAAAACAATAAATACACGAAAAAGATAAGAAAATAGACAAAGAATAAACAGGAAAAGATAGACCCTCAAAGCCAGCCACATACTCAGGGTATATTGACCTATAAACCCTAATTTAGGGTTTATTTAGGGTTTATAACTTACCGAGTTGCAGGATAAGTGCGCATACAGCAGAGACAATTGCCAACCAATAATTCTGCAGAAGAAAATCTTTTAGTGTTGGCACAAATCCAAACACTGATGCAATTCCGAAGGTAAACTGAGAAAAAAAAATAACACAAACCCTAAACCCTAAACCCTAAACCCTAATGTAGGCACTATGACATATCAACGCAAAGAAGAGAGTTTCTCCTAAAGATACAAACTACATCTACAAGAGCAAACCCTAGTTACGGTCCATCCAGGGTTTACTGAGGGTTTAGACATGGTCTAGACACGGTTTAGGGTTTAGCTAGGGTTTAGCTAGGGTTTAGCTAGGGTTTAGGGTTTACGAGAACTTGTATGGCGAGAATTCCTAAGACTTTTCGGACAAAGGCGTGACGAATTTGTACGGATACTTCTTCGCTAATTTGCATTATTGAGTCCTGTTGTGGCTGTCCTCCTCCGCCCATCTCCATGGATACACCACCTGCAAAAAAAATACAAGTCCGTGGGGTGTATAGGCACCTCATTATATATATTAACAATAAAACCTAAACCCTAAACACTCAGTCCTCAATATTAAACAATATATTATAAAATATAAACCCTAGACACACCTGGGGAGGTGGGCTTGCCGTACATTCCTTGCTGCGCGTAGGCCGGACCACCTGCTGCTGCTGCTGCTGCAGGGTATGCAGGAGCAGCAGGAGGGTACGGTGGAGCCATGCCGCCATAGGGGCCCCCATATGCTGCGGGGTATTGTTGAGGCCCTCCATAGGCTGGGTACTGCTGAGGACCCCCATAAGCCGCAGGGTATGGTTGGGGCCCCCCTGGGGGCCCTCCGTAAGCGTTTGGGGGTCCCTGAACCCCGTAAGCATAGCCAGGGGGACCATAAGTCCCTGTAGGGGCGGAAGGGCCTCCAGGGCCCCCCTGGGGGCCCCCAGGGTTTGCCTGGCCCTGCTGGGGAGGACCGGTTTGCGGGTTTGGACCCGCGTACGCCGCCATAGTTGCTATAGGTTTGGGGTGTATAGGCAGCTATTTAAGAGATGGAATCCTTTAATAAGAAGGGTCTTGATAATTATTAAAAGAAAAAAGAAGAAAGAGACGGGAAAGCAGAGGAGAGAGAGTGGCGCAGCCGCTGCGCGCTTCCTGCGGCTGCTGGGCGAAAACCCTATAAACCCTAAACCCTAAACCCTAAACCCTAAACCCTTAGGGTCCGTTATGTGAATATTTGAGGATGCACTTGAGTTCTACTGTCAACAAAAACAAAAGAAGGTAAAACCTACACAAATACAGCTGCTGCTGCTGCTGCAGAGGGGAGTCGCTGCTGCTGCTGGTGCTCAAGCTGAGAGGGTTAGGGTTTAGGGTTTAGGGTTTAGGGTTTAACAACAGATGGGGCTTGGGGCTTTGCGACAGACATATTTCCTGCTGCTTCTCCTTAATCATAAATCCCTTTCTTCTTTAATAATAAGGGCTATACACATAATATTGTCGCTAGCTTTGCTGCTGCAGCTGCTGCAGCTGCTGCAGCTTCCGCTGCTGCTGCTGTTGCTGCAGCTCCAGCAGCAACAGCACCAGAAGCAGCAGCAGCACCAGCGCTCCTACCCGTTGGCTTCCCGCCTCTTCTGCTTTTGTCTTTGTCTTCCTTCCTCATTTATTTCTTTTTAAAGACACAGATCGTTGCTTCCTGCTGCTGCTTTCTCCGGGGAGCTGCGGGGGAGGATGCAGCAGCAGCAGCAGAAGCAGCAGCAGCAAGAGCAGCAGCAGCAACAGAAGCACCAGGTAACCGTCTACAGACCGAAATCAGCAGCAGCAGAAGCTGCTGCTTCAGCTGCTAATGCAGCAGCAGATAGCAGCAGCCATGGGGGTAGCTTTATTAGGAGAAGACATAGATATGCATCGAGCAGCAGCAGCAATAGCAGCAGCAGCAACGGCAGCAACAACAGCAGCAACAGCAGCAGCAGACGCTGCAGCACAGACAGCAATAGCAGTAGCAGCTACAGCCTGAGCAGCACAGAAGGAGAGCCTTCGCTGCCTTTCTTAGATCCTTCTCCACTGCAACACAGCAGCAGCAGCAGCACCAGCAGCACCAGCAGCAACTGCAGCCGCACGAGGCAGCAGCAACGGCACTGGCGGCTTCTGAGGCCAGTGGTTGTGCTGCTGCAGCGTGTGTGTCTCTTCTTGCTGCTGCTTCTTTTCTTTTGCTGCTCAGTTGTTGCTGCTGTCTTCCGGTTGCTGCTGCGCTGCTGGAGTGCTGCTGTCCGCGTGTTGAAGCAGCAGCAGCAGCAGCAAACTCCTGCTGCTGCCAAACAGTCTACAGCAGCAAATGCAGCAGCAGCAACGCATGCTGCTGCTCCCCCCCATTTAGTGGTTGTATTTAATAGCGACGAGCTTCAATTGCTGCTAGAGGCAGAAGCCCTTGCTGCTGCTGCTGCTGCTGCAAGTGCAGCAGCAAAAGGTGCAGCAGCAGCAGCTGCAGTAGCTAAACCTAGCACATGCGTTAGGGATCTGCTGCTTCCTGCTGCAGTTGCTGCATTTGCTGCAGGGCTTCAGCACCTAACGTTTAGTGATGCCCCCGGTGTCTGCGCCCCGCTGCAGCACAGGCAGCAGCTGCTGCTGTTGCTGCAGCAGCTAGGTTTAGAGGCATGGGAGGTCTCACAGCAGCAGCAGCAACTGCAGCAGCAGGAGCAACAGCAGCGCTCTACTCTACGTGGTCCGCTGCTGCTGCATTCACCCTCTACGATTTGCATCCGACAGCAGCAGCAAAAGCAGCAGCAGCAGCAAAAGCAGCAGCAGCAGCAGCAGCAGAATGATACACTTAAAGTGCGTATATTGTGTGGCTGCTGCTGCCTCCCCGAGCTAGTGAATATGCATGCAGCAAATCAGCAGCAGTCGCGGAGCATTAGCATTAGCAGCAGCAGCAGCAACCGCAGCAGCAGTAGCAGCAGCGGGGTCGAAGCAGCAGCAAGACACGATGCAGAGAAGGGTCTGAGCAGCCAGCAGCAAATTAACTCATTAGTAGACACCTGCTGCAGCAAGACATCGCAGCAGCAGCAGCAGGTTTCTGCTGCTGTTGCTCCTGCAGAGCAGAGGAACGACAGCAGCAGCAGCAGCAGCAGCAGCAGCAGCAGCAGCAGCAGCATGCCCTACACTATCCCCCCTGAGGAGACAATAGGCGCTGTTGCGCTGTATAGGCAGCTATCGTCAGGAGGGGACTTCCCTCCTCCTCGTTGTTTGCTGCGGCTGGATGTGCCGCTGCTGCTGCTGCTACGTGCTGCTGCTGCAGCAGCAACAGCAGCAACTGCTGCAGCAGCAAGGGCTGCTGCTGCAGCCCTTGTTAATTCTGCAGCACGAGCAGTTTGGAGGCCAAAGAGTACCTCTGCTGCTGCTGCAGGCGGCCGGCAGCAGCAGCAGCAACAGCAGCAGCGAGTCGCTGCTGCCACTGTCTGCAAGCTGCTGCAGCAGCAGCTGTTGCTGCTGCAGCTGCTGCTGCCTTGTCTGCTGCGGCGGCTGAAGGAGGAACTGTCTCCTTTCAGGTGTATGTCCCCTTTCTCCGCATGCAGCGTCCCCCCGCTGCTGCTAGCAGAAGCAGAGCTGTTTGGTGGCCGTGTACAACAGCAGCAGCAGCAACAACAGCAGCAGCAGCAGCAGAAGTGGGCCTATCGGGCACCCAATCTGCTGCTGCAGCAGCAGCAAACAGCATTTGCTGCTGTTAAGGTCTTGAGTACCTTAGAGGCGTTTACTAGCAGACATCTTAGACTAGGACGCTAGCAGCAGCAGCAGCAGCAGCAGCAGCAGCAGCTCTTGCTGCTGCTGCTGCTGCTGTTGCTGCTGCTGCATTAAGAAAAAGGAGACAGTTAGCTACTACTGTCTTATATAAAAAAGAGACACATTTGCGGTGTATGTACAGGTCTGTCTCCTGTCTCCTTAATAAGGAGACAAAAGAGCAGCAAATTATTTATTTATTTTTAGTCTTAAGGGATGCAGCAGCAGCTATTCAGGTGTATACGCATCTCCTGCTGCAGCAAATACTGCAGCAGCTGCTGCTGCAACTACTGCAGCAGCAGCAGCAGTTGCTGCTGCTGCTGCTGCTGCAGCTGCTGTTGCTCCTATTGAGCAGCAGAGGGGACTAGACAGTGTTTTTAGTTTCTCCTGCGCTTATGTTGTCTCCTCCTCTATTTGCTGCTGTTGCTGCTGCTGCTGCTGTTGTTGTTGCTGCTGCTGTTGTTGCTGCTGCTGCTGTTTGCTGCTGCTGCTGCTGCTGCTGCTGCTGCTGCATCGGTACTCTTATTTACTCGCTGCTGTATAACAGCTAAGTCTTGCTGCAGTCTCCAATGGCCATTCCATCCTGTCTTACGTAAATCAAGAAAGGAAAGGACAGGTGCTGCTGCTGCTGCTGCTGTCTTTCCTGCTGCTGCTGCTGTCTTTCCTGCTGCTGCTGCTGCAGAGGGAGAAGAACTGTCTCCTCCTGCTGCTGCTGATGCAGCAGCATGGTCTGCTGCTGCCTTTAGGTGTTCTATAGAAAGCATCTCTGCATCTGTCTGCATACACACACAGCAGCAGCAGCAACAGCAGCAGCAGCGCAACAACAACAGCAGCAGCAGCACACAGTCATATGTTAGCTGTTGCTGCTGCTTAGGGAGGGTACAGTGTACAGGGAGAGACACAGGAAAGAAGAACAAAAACGAGTAAAAAGGAGACAAGAGGGGACACATGAGGACAGCAGCAGCAGCAGCAACAGCTGCAACAACAGCAGCAGCAGCAACAGCTGCAGCAATAACAGCAGCAGAAGAGGGGTAGACAGGAAGAAGAGACGGGAGGAGACACGTAGACAATGCAGCAAGATACAGTAGAAGGAAGGAGACAGATATTCTGCTGCTGCCGCTACAGCTACCCTGCTGCTGCTGTTGCTGCTGCTACTACTGCTGCTGCTGCTGCTGCTCTCTACCTGTTTAATATACTGCAGCAGCAGCAGAGGAGGAATAAGAGGCCACATAGTACGACAGAAAGTTCCTGTCTTAATAACAGCAGCAACAAAGGAAGGAGACAGGTTCCTATAACGGAGACAGTTAGCTAATAATTTAATTTTTGCTGCTGCTGCTGCTGCTGCTGTTGCTGCTGTTGATGCTGCTGCTGACGCTGCTGTTGGTATTGACGATCCTCCTGCTGCAGATGAAGAACCAAACGCACCACCTGCAGCAGCAAACGAAGACGCAGCAGCTCCCGTCATCTTCCTGCTGCTGCTGCTGCTGCTGCTGCAGTTGTTGCTGCTGTCGTTGCTGCTGCTGCTGACGCCCCCTGCTGTGGAAGCGAAAGGGAATGAGTCTTCTAGTCTTATTGCTGCTTTTTTTGCTGTTGCTGCTGCTGCTGTTGGTGCTGCTGCTGCAGCTATATTTACTCGCTGCATGCAGCCCTGCTGCAGTTGTCTTGCTGTTCTTGCTGCTGCAGCAGCAGTAATAGCAGCAAATAAATATCTAATAAATAAAAATATTTAATTAATTAATATAAATAAATAAATAATAAATATAAATATATATATAAATAAATATAAATAAATATAAAATATAAACAAGAAAAGTCCTTATGGGGGGTAACAAACACCAACTAACCATCGCGAGCACTACCTACACCCCAATAAACCCTAAACCCTAAACCCTAAACCCTAAAAGGGAAGAAAAAGAATAATTAAAGATAAATAATAATTAATTAAAGGACATAAAAATATTATTTAATTTATTTATTTAGTGTCTTCCTCCTTATTCGTGTCTTTGTTGCACTTAGGTCACTAATACGCCACCTCTGTCTCCTGCAGGGCACCAACACAAACCCTTTTCAAGGGTTTAGGGTTTAGGGTTTAGGGTTTATGCTTGTATGTGTGTGTATGCTCATATACTCCTTGCCTATTTGGTTGCTGCTTGCTGCAGCTGATGAGCAGCAGCTTCGATTGTCTCCTTTTTAGTAAATAGAGGGAAGAGAAGGGACACATTAATGGTGTTATTAGGGTTTAGGGTTTAATGGTGTTATTAGGGTTTAGGGTTTAGTGGTATTTTTATATAAACAACAATATCCCCTCTGCACAACATAATACAATTAATAGACTCTTTTCCCCTTTTTGTCCCTTTTGCTTCCTACAGGTGTCTCCTTAGTGACACAAGGAGCTTATCATCATCAATAGCCGTTATACCATCGTCTCTCTGTGGGGAGACACTTAGTAACTGTCTCCTTATTCCTTTATTTATTATTTATTTTCTGTGACGATTCTTTTTTTCCTTGGGGACAATCGATAAGACATTAAGATAGGAAGAAGGAACGCCTTCCTTGTCCATCAATGTAAGGGAAGGAAATGGCACAAAGGGAGAGACAGCAGCAGGAGAAGATAAATGTCACGTAAATCCTTTACTTGTCCAACTTGGCATTAATGACGGTGAGTTATTAACTTTACTTCCTGCATTCTTTTGTATAAATCGCATATCTGGTGGTTTAGGGTTTAGGGTTTAGGGTTTATCGCTTTATACAGTGTCTGTCTCCGTGACAATGGTAGACAGGAAAGAAAGAACAGTATATTTATGCACAAGCATACGCAATAAAAAACTTAACCGGTAAATTATACAGCCTGTTTGCCTTGAGTCAGCTCATTGCCATATACTACGCTGCATGCAGTGCAAGAAAAAGAGCAGCTGTGGTCCCCTTAAGTATTTTTATATATTTATCTGCGGGCAATTAATTGATGAAATTTTTATTAATATGTATTAATAATAGTATATGCATCCTCTAAGATAAGAGGAGTGGAAACAGTACCCCAAGGAGACAGGAGACTCGAGACAGGAGACTCCAACGCGGTGCAGAGGGTATGTTGCTGAACACTCAGCATGCATGCACGAAAGGTTGAGGGCTACATAGTAATTTGGGCTCAATTAGCACAACAGGTAGGCAGACTTAAAGGAGGAGGCTGTACCTCCTTACTTAACAAGGAGGAGTTGGAAGGAGATGGGCTACAGTCTGGAGGCTAAATGGACTGATTCGAAATCCGAGACGTCCGAAAAAACACCAAAAAAAAAAAACGATCAATATGTATCTATGCGTAAATATACAACAACAAGAAAAAAAAAATAAATAAATATTTGTTAGCAAAGGGTGGCCAAGACAAGAAGTAGGGTGTAAAGTGTTTGCATGCAAACAGGGATGGTAACAAGAGAGGCAGTACAGGAAGATGTAGTGTCTTGGGGTAAAAAGAGTACCATCTGGTGTCCCTTTTATTATTATATATATGTTGGGTTATGCCTTTTAGTTGACGCTAATAAGGGGACGTTTCCTCTGCATGCACAGCAGAGACAGCTGGCAGCAATCGGTTGGTGTATAGGCATGCAATCTGCAGCAGAGTGCAGCAGCAGCAATAAGAGCGGCATAAAAAGACCCCTCTCTTTGTATTTTTCTTTCCTGTAGGCTTTATTTTTCTTTATTTGCTGGAGAATGAATAAAACTCTTTTTCTCTTTTTCTTCATCTCCTTTCTGCTCTTATTATTCCTTACTAGACAGAGAGGGACCCGACAAGACAGCAGCAGCTGCTGCTGACAGTACAAGAAGATATAGCATATAGCCTCGTAACGGTTGCTTCTACTGCCAAGAGAATTATCTACTGAGGGCCCCGTGAGTGGCTAACTCTTCTATACAGTGTTGCTGCATGCAGCATAGGGGCCTTGGTTGAGGAAGTCATGCGGATGTGGGGCTGCTATGCAGCAGCAACTGCAGCAAACCCTAAAGAGGCCCTTTTCTCTACTATCCCTCCCTATGTCTTTGTTATAAGTTGTGGCTAAGGGAAGGAGACAGATAAGAAAAGGCATTATATTCTTATTGCCCTCTTATGTCCCCTCTGTCTTAATCGATTGTCCCCTCCTATATAGATAAGAATAATAACCCTGTATTATTATAAGGAGAAAATAAAATAATTAAATAAAATATATTTATTTGTATAAATAGACAGTAAGCTATAATAATAAAAGAGACAAATAAATAAATAAATGGATAAATGAGACTTTTCTCTATACAAGCAATAACTCTTCTTACCTCTTGTGCTGTCTCCTTCCTTATGCATCTATATGTATATATTAGTGCATAGAGGAAGAAGACTAGAAGATAATTATAATATGCTTAATAAGTTAATTAATAATAAATAAATAAATATAAATAAATAAATATATATATATTTTCTTCTTTTATTGTTTGTCTATACGTATATATACATAATTGTATGGAAGGAATTGTTGCCTTTTTGTCTGCATGCGCGACTGCAGCAGCAGGGCTTAATAAACAGTTGTTTTTTTCCCCTAATTATTTATTTTGCATGCATGCAATAAGGCAATAAAAAAAACAAGAAAAGAGACAGGAAAAAGGGCCTTATTGTTGTTGTTATATAAGAGGTGGGGTTATTATATAGGGGAGAAGAAGAAGGAGATATAAATAAGGATTTATTTATTAGGTAAAGGAGAGAAGGATATTGATAAGTATATATAAAAGACAAAAAAAATAAATTAAGGGTTTAGGGTTTAGGGTTTAGGGTTTAGGGTTTAGGGTTTAGGGTTTGGAAGGGTGTGTCTGACGACCCCACCGCTGCTGGGGGGCGCCCCCCGCGTAGGAGGAGGAGGAGAGGAGAAGGTGCTGCTGCATGCAAGTGCATGCATAGGGAATAATATATAAATAATATAATAATAAATAAGTATTATGCTATAGTAGTTGTATACTATGCCCAATAAACATCAACAGCAGCAGTAACAGCAACAGCAACAACAGCAGCAGCAGCAGCAGCAGCAGCAGCAGCAGCAGAAGGGCCCCCTCTCCGCTGTGTACAGCCACCGCGATTGAGTGCGAGAGGTTTTTGTCCCTTTGCCTCCTTAACGATTTCTTATAAATATTTATTAAGTAATTAACTGCCTGTCTTGGGGTGTCTAGGCAGCTCCTGCATGCATTCTGCTGCTCTTTTGCTGCTCTCTCTTGTTGCTCCTTCTCCTTTTGTTGTCGTCTAGGGTGTAACAGCAGCAGCAACAGTAGCAGCAACAGCAGCAGCAGCAGCAGCAGCAGCAGCACTATCGTTATAGGCTACACCACCAACTATTATACTTCCTTTTACTGTCTATTTAGCTCAGGTCTCTCCTGCTGCTGCTGCTGTTGCTGCTAATTGGGCCCTTTTGGGGGCAGCGCAGGTTGCTGCTGCAGCCGCAGCAGCAGCAACAGCAACAACTAATACTACAACAACAGCAGCAGCAGCAGCAGCAACTGCAGCAGCAACAGCTAGTTGCTGTAGCCAACAGACACAGGAGAGTTGCTGCCTCATCCGTAGCATTTGCTGCTGCACTAGCCGTCATCAGCAACAACAGCAACAAAAGTAGTGATACAACTGCAGCAGCAGCAGCAGCAACAACAACAGCAGGAGCAGTAACAGCAGCAATAGCAGCAACAGCAGCAATAACAGCAGCAGCAGGTACCATTGGGTGGACCTGTTGGTATATCTTGTCTTCTTCCTCTTGCTGCTGTAGATCTAAGCAGCAGCAGCAACAGCAGCAGTATGCTTCCTACTGCTGCATCATCAGCGGCATCTGCTGCTGCTGGTAACAGCAGCAGCAGCACAACCCATCCACCAACCACTGCAGCAGGAGCAGGAGCAGCAGCAGCAGCACAATCTGCTGCTGGTGTATCTCCTTATAAAGGTAGTGGTTTATCCCCTGTGGGGAGTACCAGCTTACCATTAGATGCAGGCAGCAGCAGCAGCAGCAAGATATCATCTGCTGTACTTGGTGCAGCAGCAGCAGCAGATGGTACATCTGCAGCAGCAGCAGCAGCAGCAGCAGCAGCAGCAGGCCCAGGGGTATCACCAGAAGACGACGTTCGTTCGTTGCACGGATCTGCAGCAGCAGCAGCAGCAGGAGAAGAAGTATTAGATGCATCTTCTTGCTGTTTAACGGCAGCAGCAGCAGCAGCAGCAGCAGCAGCAGCAGCAGCAGCAGGAGACAATGGAGACAGGGACGATGGAGGTCTACTATCTGAATCTTTCTTTGATCCTGCTGCTGCTAGTAGTCCATCTGCTTCCTCTGATCTGCAGCAAGGGGCGCAGCTAGCAGGATTTATATCTCATGGATACAGCGTAACTCCTGCTGCTGCTTCTCCTGTTGCTGGTGCTGCTGCTGGATCATATGCTGCAGCAGCAGCAGCAGCAGCAGCAGCAGCTGGTGCATCTGATGGTCTTTTTGGCTTAAGAGAAGGACAATTATTCCTTCTGCAGCAACAGCAGCAACTGCAGCAGCAATTAGCAGCAAGCAGCAGCCCACCGCAGCAGCATCATCATCATCATCATCATCATCAGCAGCAGCAGCAGCAACATCATCATCATCATCATCAACAGCAGCAACAGCAGCAATTACAGCAGCAGCAGCAGCAGCAACAGCAGCAGCAACAATCATATATGTCTGCTGCATCACCATCTGTTTCTGTTTCTACTACTACTGCAGCAGCAGTAGCAGGAGGAGGAGGAGGGAC